GAAATTCTACTCAAATACGAAAATGATTAAAAGATTGACAATTGAAGTTTCCAGCACTCAGATGAGTGAGACTCACCAAAATTAAGCAACGTCGTTTGAGCGCAAATTAAATGTTTGCTGTATAAAAATGTGTTTGCATGAGGCTTAGTTTGCCTTGAATGTCATACACACCCTATGATTAAGTTCTTATTACAGAATTACTCGTCGCTCCGAAACTTAACTATACCAAGAATCATAAAATGTATTTTTATTTGAGTATATATATATATAATATATATATATATGGATAGGCCTGCCAGTTTTGTTGACCAAATGTCAGCCTGAAGTATTTAGAGGAACGATAAGTCTCAAATAAGATATTTTTCTAATGTAAGTAGAGTTTCGAAACTACCAGTAAATCAGTAATATGAGATGTATTCACCCTATTTCGTCTAAGGTGATGAAGCAATGGTAGTAGAATTTTCCCCACAATGACATGACTAGAGCTGACATTTTCATTGAATTTCATATAGCCTTGCTTTCCCAAAAGTTGTTCTCATCCGGAGAGGACTGTAGTTTCTACCTCGCATAGCTCTTATCGACACTTCCAGTGGGAGTCGAACCGTTACAGTACAGAATGTGAGCTTGACACGTCAACATACCACCGGACTGTAAATAGGACAATCGATGATTTCACTAATGGCTTCCAGATAAAGGACACTATGCAGGTTGGCACCACTAGCTTCGACCATTTGAGAACCCGGGTCCGCCACTGAAGAAGCTTGTAACCAGTCCAGCAAAGGCTCTTCAGAGGGGAGCGCAAAAATGGGTGGCGTCAAGGAAGGAGACTGGTGAACAGATGCTTACGCAAACCTTTGATGCATAAAAAGGCTGTACTACATACTTTGGATACAGAAGCAAGAAATATGCAAGCGATGAGAGGATAAAGGTAGGGTGAAGTCCGTAGAATACTTTGTTTTTTACAGATAAGTTGAATATGGAAAAGCAAGACCCAGGAAAAAGTGTATACATATGCATGAGCGCGCACATAAGAATCGAAATGTAAGAAAGCAGGCTAACAATTGAGCAAACGTTTATGTTCCGAAAATATATAATATTAGTACAAAAACTTCCGGCAAAATGAAAGCATCGAAAGTAAGAAGCCTTGTCAAGAGGATGTAGAAAATCTGTGTCGATGAGGGTATTGCAACAATTAGTACAAGAGGCTTGCAGCTCATTTAGAACGGCTGGTCACTTAGAAAATGAGCCCTGCGAAAGACTGCTTGAACAAGACTTTTAACGCTGAATGCAGAATGGATAGATAGAATAGTTTCCACTTTGGTTTGATAAGCTTGGCCATGGGCTAGAAAACAACCTGGATATGTTTGTATGTTGCGTGTGGGCAGACAAGCCGATGACCATAAATACGCATACCTGAGGGTATATCTGTGCCAAAATCGGAGGATATACACTATGCACAATCTCTTGGTTTGAGAACACCTTTTTTTCTGTATTCACTGCAAAACGACAGCACCTCGTAAATGCAAAGTTGTCAACTGAGGACCTCTGGTGCAATAAAGACTTTGATCGACGGAAAAAAATAGATTAGAATCTGTACATCTCGTGCTTTTAAAGCAGTTCGCTTTACGTGAATAGGTCATGTCTTGGCGCTTGTTTTGATGTGTACTTGTCTTTTATTGCTATATGAGTAAAAATGACAGTTCACCCAGCCAAAATCTGGTGGGACAAACGAAGGGTCTCCTTTGGGAGGGCATTTAGGGAGGAGGGGAAACCAAAGGCCCAAATAGCGGCCTTCTGTTGAGGGGCCGGAATAAGTCGTTGTCCAGAGAGCAGATGTTGCCTCGAATAGCAACGGAGATTGGTTTCTTAAATTAGAATTCGAGGGTTGATACAAAGTTTGTCCAAGATCAGATGAAAGATGTAGGGAAACATGGAACAATGCGGAAGTCATACAAGATATGTGTGTGTGTGTATGCGTGTGCAGTTGTGCTGGTAAAAACCACGAAAGCACGGATGGACTAAGGTAGAAAAAGGGGGCTGCAGCTGGTAAGATATAAAATTTGAGGCCAAAGAGGCCAGGCGAACAAAGAGATGGGTAATAGTCTCTAGCACAGTAGCACGAAGACGGATGTTGGCAGTGTTGCACACGGAAGATTGACTCATTAACAGCAATCAGGCAAAGGAAACAACAAAATAACAGCTAACACACATTTATGTACATCCTGGCTAACATAAGTGGTCTGATACTCAGCAGTTGTCTAATTCAGCACCATACTAGCTGGCTGTACTGGTAGTTAACATCACTAGTAATGGAGAAATAACGTTGACAACGCTATTAAATCCATATTATATTTTTCAGGTACCCCGGATACAGTAGATCATCATAGGAGGCCGGGGTCAAAGGAGAGAGACTAAAGGTCGTGGCCCATGTTAGAATGCAGCCCGAAACACTATGATTCTAGGACCATCGATATCGCAATCGTCGCTCTGAAGACAAGATTGGAACTTCACTCAATCTGAAACCCCTCTCAAGAACGTACACACGCACGAGATAGGTAGATAAATAAATAAATGAAATCTAGTCTATGTGTGAATTCGTGCAAGAAACAAGGCCATAATAGGGGGACAGTCGAGGGCGGCAGGCTATTTGCTTGATCTTTCCAAGATAAGGTAAAATCATTTTGTCACGTTTTAGCTGCATCTACTTTTCCTCTTTCTCCTCCGCATTGTAAACTCTCCGGTCTTTACTTGCTGTCAGGAGTTCAGGTCACCATTTGCAAGAGGAGGAGAAAAGGAGGAGAAGTGACTCAGTGGTTCAGATAAAATTGAAGTGTATGTAGGTCTGCATGGCGCTGATTGGACGAACATTTTACTTTTGGTCAGGTTTCTATATTTATCCTTCAGCCCATTGGTACTTTGTTGGAAATGTCTGACTGCTTCTTCGACCAGATACCTTGTGGGGCAATTTATCAAAACTTTTTATATGCCCGACCCTTCGGGAGTGTTGAAAGGGTTCATTCGGCGGCCGAATACATCCGCCTCCGGCATCTCCGGCCCACCAGGTCTGGACACCGCAATCTGTCCGAACAACGCGTGTTCCGCCGAGAAAACAGGCACCGTGTCCACGGCGGCTCGAGTCCTGGTGGCGGAATCAGCGGCAAGCCGGGCAAATATACTCTGTTTCAGGGCGCAGGACGAGGCATTTGGGCAAGGAATAGGCCTGCCTTGGTCATCATGAGAGACCAGACTAGCCGCCTGAGGATAGTGCGGCTCAAATCCCAAAGATGAAGGGCGGCCAAGTAGGAGGAGAGCAATTATTGTAGAGTGCATGCATGTATAGGGAAAAAATAAAATAAAAATTCAACTTTGGAACCAGAGCAACTATCTGCGATTCTTTAAGAGTAAAGACTGAGAAGTACTGGAAGCCAAACACATTAAACTAGGCTATTACAAAGGCAATTTGTTTGTGACTGAGGGATCTTGGAGAGAAAAGCACCCAGATCTCACTAGAGCCAAAAATGAATTAAAACTAGATAGCTCATTTGCATCCCAAAATTATCAATGCCCTAGCCTCCAATCGGACATAGCCTTGTACCACTATCCAAAAGAGACTTACAATTTTTGTATTACCGGGAAAAATTAAAAAAATATATATATAGAGAGAGAGATAGTGAGAAGTTGTAGTATTTATAAAGAGTTTACATAATTTAAATCCAAGAACACAAAAGAGATAAATGGATTAAAACAACTTGAGTAAGACAGTTGCATTCACGCCTTTTATACTTTGTTTTTTTATCAAAAAGTGTAAAATCCTAAATATATGAGATGTAGTTACCCTAGTTCGTTAAGGTGCTACTTCAAGGAAGGAGAGTGGAGGAAGAGTTTTTCGCTAAACAGAGACATGCAGGCCTGAATCCCTCTGACGGTACTGATCAGACCCAACAGAGTTTGAAAAATCAACCCAACTCGGATGAGAGGCATATTTTGGGCTGCATGACTAAGTGTATTTTAAATCAAAATCAAGCCTTTTTTCGATGGTTTGTGGGTTGAACCATACCTGGTGGCTATTGAATTCATTTATTCATCTACGCAACCTAGGTTACAGCATCACTTTGAAGCTTCGCCTTAGATTTTGTCTTAAGAGATATCACTGCTCCCCCAAAGATATGGCTTCAAAGGACATTTCTTCCAAAGTAAAATAATACTATGGAATGTAGAAAAAATCATGTGGGTTAGGATAGTTGTTCTAACATCGAGGAATGCATACACCTCTTTGGATGTGAGGTAATCTAACAACTCGGAGAACGAAGCAGCCTCAAGGTAGTGCTTGGTTTGCTCATCACTGCTCTAGGCAAGTGCCTCAGGCCAACGTTTTTTCCCACCATCGTCGTTCCAAAAGAGGACTGTTCGTAGGAAAACTCACAGACAATTTGTGTTGAAATCTGCCTGAATAGTGGCAAATTAAAAGATCTACCCTTCTCCCAGTGATGAAGAGATTTAAAGGCTGATCCGACCAGAAGACGACAGCGGATTCCTCATTGCAAGCCGTTGGTTGGCTTTACTAGAACATTCCGGCTGACGCTGTCCTTAATGTGGGGCCCTTTTGATGCCAGTGAAAACATGCTGAGCTTTAATCTGTCTTGTAACGAAAAGCGGGGTAGCATTTTTACAACCATATTTATTATAAAGAGTCAAGCAACCTGAGGAATCGAAGGATTTTGTCTCGAGGACAGCATCGGCCGGAATGTTGCAGCAAAGCTAATCACTAGCGGGCGAAGAGAAATCCGCCGTCGTCTTCTTGTGGAATCAACCTTCACTCGAAAAGGAAGTGAGCTCAAAACTTATAAAGCAAAATTTTATCTAAAACACTACTTCAAGTCGCATATACTCACGCAGCTAGGCTATGCTTGGCTTGATACATTGTTTATATGTCATTTGGGCTATTGGCTATATTTCCAAACAAGTTACCTCTTTATATCCCACAGGTGATTGGTCGTTCAGCCTGGCCATTTCATTCTCCCGTTTCGAGACCGACGATATCTTTTCTACCATTCCATGGGATCGGCCATAAGTAACTGTTACACGCGACTGTTGAAGATAGAGACCCAGATCCGACTGCATTCCTGTCCCATTTTGCTTAGACAATTTGTGCTGTCGACCCTCATTTTTGAAGATAGTCTCTGTCCTAGGGAGCGAAGATTCGCCAACATGAGATCGTTCGTCGTCTCCTCCCCCTCCTTGTACCGCTTTGACCAGCTTCGTCCCCATTTTCTCCTGCCTCCATCTTCCTCTGGCCTCTGTCTCTTCTATTTCTTCTTGCTCTCGCTCCTGCTCCTCTTCCTGCTCCTCTTCCTCCTCCTTCTGCTCCTCTTCCTCCTCCTCCTCCTCCATTTCCACCTCCTTCACGGAGGCCTGGAGGCCCAGTAACGAATCCTTTCCAGCCGCTCTGGTCACATCGTCTGATGCCTCTGCCTCCTCACGCGTTATGTGGAGCGAAGAAGTGCCCGTCCGGGACAGGATAGTGCGCGAGAAGAGGCCAGCACTCTGACGGACGCCGGTCAGACCCATGGAAGCGGTGCTAAAGCAGCCGGAACCGATCGAACTGAGGGACCCGGCTTGACTACACATCGAAGCAGAGGTTGCGGCAGAAACTAGGCTGCCTTCAGCAACTGTGCCGCCTGCACCGGAGACGATTGCAGTGCCAGTGGAGCCGAGGAGACCACTCGTTTGTCCCGAGACCAAAAGGCCTGCTGCCAGGGAGGCTGAAGTCGCCAAGATGCCGCTGAAACCGCTCTGCAGGTTGCTGACGCTGCCCTCGAGGCTTCCGGATCCCGTAACACCTGCACTGCTAGTGTGGCTGCTGTATGAGCGATGCCTGCCCAGTGCCATTCTACTGGCAGGTAGTCACCAAAATTACACAGGCGCACAAAAGGAGGGCATTGCAAAAGTGCACATACATTAATGGTCATTCAATGTCAATGCATTAAGAATTACTCATAAGGCTTGAGTAACCTGTTACAATAGCATTCTGGAAAATAGTTATTAGCATTGCTGGAGAGACTTTTATTTCACATGGGAATGCACAAAGAAGAGATTCGAAGGTTGCTCTCACCAGAAGACGAAGACTGTACGGAAGCCGTTTGGCTTCAATACGGCGTTTAGGTTGACGCAATTCACGATACGTCTTACCTCGTTTCGGGTTAAAACTGGCTGGGCTCTTGTCAATTATAGGATGGACATCATCATAGCAACCATTTGACTAGAGTTAACGTGGCTGAAAGATTTAATCCTGGAAAATAATTATTTCTCGGGCCTAATTAAAAATAATTCCTTCTTATTGAGGAATACATTTTCAGAGTGACACTAGTTAGTCAATGATAGACAAGCTGAGACTTTACGGTCGACCTTATGCTGGAAAGACGTGCCGGCCTATTCGACAAAGATTGAGGGGCACTAAAATACTTGTAAAGAAAGCTGGGTCCAACTGTCCAACACATGCCCGAGACTGGACATGTGATAAAATGATTTCAAAATAGTAGGTTTACTGACTATGGTGTGTCTGCTAGAGAGGCTATTGAAGTAAATAGATTAGGAAATACAGGCTGAGCCTTAGTCCATCAGATAACGGACATCATCAGAGCTGGAACTCATTCTTGAAAAAGTCTTAATTTATAAGCACCATGACCAATATGAAAGAGAATTAGCCAGACCATGATATATCTATGTCCACGCATTATCCTATTATAGTTATGAATAAGATAAGATATAGCCGAACAGTCTTCTTGACCTTGTCTTATCTTGAGACTTTTACAAAAGTTAGTTCCAACTCTGATGATGTCCATCATCTGATGGGCGAAAACTCAGCCCGTTTTCACCGGAAGCTATGGAGGATATCTCGTGAACTGCATTGGCCTGAATGTCGTATTGAAGCCAAACGGCTTCCGTACAAAGATAATCAGTTGTCGTTTTCTGGTGAGATCGAAAAGCAAATCTCTTCATCATAAACTTTCATGCGGAATGTTATCTTAGGAGGTTCATCGAAACCCAGTTGTTCTTAGTTATTGGCAGCCGGTGTCAAACGAAAAATGGAGTAAAACTCACAATGAAAAAGACATTTACCACTTAGAATGTGGAAAAAAATATGCAAAATTTCCTATAATTGGTCAATTAAACTAAACACACCAGACTAACAAATATCTGTACTTTTCAAAGTAAAATGTTTAGTTATCCTAGGTTGCATAAGTTGGTGAAGGACTCGTGGCTGAATTTTTCCCAGAATGAACTAAATATGCCTTTAGATACCATTGCGTTTCAATTAAACTTCCCTCCCAAAAGGTTTTTAGATCCCAACTAGACTGCACTGCAGTTTCGGCCTCAATAGGGTCTCATAAATATCCCCAACGGAAATCTAACTCGGCTATTGTAACCTACACTTTATATATGGTACAATCGATGAGACCGGTGTGAGGTCAAAACTATAGTCAAATCCTGGCTGGAAATAGATGTTAAGGCGCAGGTCCAAGTAAAATTAGATGTTATCTTGTGGCCTAATTATATGCTTGTCGTAAAACTGAGCTATCAGTCATTTATCCCTTTATACGACCTAGGATGGCTAGAACTTTTACCCTGCGAAACCTGGACATTTGTTAGCCTGATGTGTGCCGTCTAGTTGACTCGAGGAGTAGAATTTTTACATGCTTCTCTCGCCTCACTATCGTGAAATTTTAGTTTGAGATAGATTTTCCTTAGGGCTTTTGCATCCATTTTCCATTTCATGCAAACTGCTAGTAACTAGTTAAAGAGTTTTCAGCTACTTTAGGTCTCCTATACGAAAATAAAGACTGGGATTACGATTTTTCCATAATGATGCCATTTTATTGCATTTATGATAATCTGGAGTAGACTGTCGTTTCGACTTTGTCCGAGTCTGATCAGCAATCCCAACAGAAATCAAACAAGTTCAACATGATACCGCTACACCACAGTCAGTCACAGGGCAGAAGGGAATTTCAAGGTATGCTAAGCCTCTCTCACATCACCTTTTTATAGTGAGATTCCCAACGAGGCGAATTTGTATTTTGTCATTACAATCGACTACATTACTTATAATCATAGGAAGCAAGTTTCGCGATTGTGTGAATCTTTAATAAGAGTTATAGATTTATACTGATAACCTCTAAATCTAGTTACTATGGATAAAAGTAAGATAGTTGATTGTAATTGCAAAACACAAGATTTCAATTAACAATCCCATTAAAAAATATGATATGGAAAAT